GCTGCCGGGGTCAGTAACAGTTAAGTGAGGTGTGGCTCTTATCTCCCATGACCATCCTTCCTTACCCTACCCCTCTCTCTACGTCGACGCCACCCACCATTAGTATACTCATCAGCTCCCTGACCGTATCATTCTGACCACCCATCACTACTCTTTCTTGTCACCTTTTTTGGGCGTAGTGTCTCCCCTCACCACCACCACCCTGCCCCACCACAACTACCCTGCCCCATTACCCACTACCACTACCCTTTCCCATCACCACCCACCACCACCCTGCTCCATCACTACCACCATCACCCACCACCACCCTGCCGCATCACCGTTCATGTTACTGTGTGTGGTTGAGGTATTTCCCCAAGGTTGACAGAGCGTGCTGAATAGATCGACTTCCCCGGTGACATGTGTTCTCAGGCCAACACTCTCCATACTGCCTCCTTCACGTTCATCAATGTTTGTTTTCTTTTACGAGCTTAATTAAAATTGATCCTCGAGAACAATGGTGTTTGGAGAGAACTGTTTAGAGAGAAACTATCACCAAGAGTTTCTCCCTCCTGGTAACCACGATCTTAAGTCAATGTTTACAATAACAGGTTGAAGGAGAATTTTTTCAAATCCTCCCACACGCTTAGGCTGGGTACTGAGACCTAGTGCCAAGGGGGAGTGTCGACGTCAGTGCCAAGGGGGGATGTCGACGTCAGTGCCAAGAGGGAGTGTCGACGTCAGTGCCAAGGGGGAGTGTCGACGTCAGTGCCAAGGGGGATGCTCGACGTCAGTGCGACGACGTCAGTGCCAAGGGGAGTGTTGACGTCAGTGCCAAGGGGGGTTGACGTCAGTGCCAAGGGGGATGTCGACGTCAGTGCCAAGAGGGAGGTTGACGTCAGTGCCAAGGGGGGATGTCGACGTCAGTGCCAAGAGGGAGTGTCGACGTCAGTGCCAAGGGGGAGTGTCGACGTCAGTGCAAAGGGGGAGTGTCGACGTCAGTGCCAAGGGGGGGTGTCGACGTCAGTGCCAAGGGAGAGTGTCGACGTCAGTGCCAATAGGGGAGTGTCATGAACAGTTACTCTACCTACATCCTCCGGCCCTCTTACTGGACGCCTGATGAGACCAAAAACTTTATGTAAGAAGAAGAATTGTGTCCTTAGGTACAACACAACTGCAATAATCTAAGAACAGTCTCTGGCGCTACGGGGGAAGGAACCACATTTATCTCTGTCCTAGATCTCTTACGCACTTGACCTAGAAACATAGAACGGTATAAGAAAGGTGATGGTAAACGTGTGCATTAATGAGGGGAATGAAGGGTGGTGCGAGTGACTGCCTGGTATCCATCTCTACAGCGGTCCACTGCCTCGGCCCTCGACCCACACTCACTCACCTACATTCTACTCCGGTGACGCACTCCGCTGAGCCTGATCACCTGCCAATTATGTCTTTTCTTATTTACTGTATTATGTCGTAGGAGTTTCTTAAAAAGCTTATTGTCTCTATCATGATTTGTGAAGTAAGTGAACATATCCTCAAAGGAAAACAGTGGAATGTGAAGTTCATGGCTGCCGCCCCGTTATATCAGTCTGTTGTATAAAGTTTGCGGTACGTGTCGGTGAACTCGCGTGCTACCGCTGGCGGCCGCACGAGCACTCCCGAGGCCGAGTTTAGTTGACACAGTTAATGTTCTGGTAAAGTGTACAAGATTGAAGGTGCTTGGGTAACCATGAGCTGGTGGCTGGGTCCACCTGGCGTACACTGGTGGTGAATCTGTAACGCTACAGCATGGCGTAAAATAGTATGGTATTACTCGCAACAGATGCCTAATGGGCTCTTGTAACATATGATATAACAGTATATAACACAATTTAAAAAATGTGTTTAATGTCTTGCATAACTGAAATGTGGCGCACACACACACACATTACACAAGGTAAATTTACCTAATAGTCACATACTGTTTATGAAGCCTTTATATAAAATACTAATTATTACATTAAATCACATCAAACATCTCAGGTAACCTACAAGGAACAGGTGACAACAATGACCAGGATATGGCGCTAAACACCACACAAGTGAACTAACAGCATAAACAGTGAGGAAGAAAAGACCGGTTGAGTGGTGGGGTGCGGGACGCCCTGGCCCGGGGTGGATCACTTCCTTAGTCCTTATTGAGGTCACCGGAGCTTCCCTCACCAGGTAGACGCCCATAACCTGACGCCTCACTTCATTATTACTTTCATATAGTTAAATTACTTTTGTTTCTTACTTTCTTTTATAACTAAAGTGAGTTCCTGTATTTCTTAGTGGATTGTGTTCAGTCAGTCGGGTGTTCACATCTATACAGTGGATAATTGTGAAAGTCTTAGTGGAGGCAGCTTGTTTGTTTGTGTGTGTGACTGTACCACCCGTTCAAACAGAGCGAGTCGCGGGCTCCCCACCTCAGGCACGCCACACCGCTGCCTCACCAAGTAACGGGACCGCTGCTTACTGGGCCAACCTCCTCCTTCCCTCACACATTCCCTCATATCCACCCCATCTCTACCCTGTCATTTTTTGTCCTCTTCCCCCCACCCCCGTCTTTTCCACTTTTATCCTGCCGTATCTACCCTTCCATCCTGCCAAAACATCATCCTATATCCTACCACGCCCTCAACTTGAAATTCTTGGAAACTCGATTCGATTACACTCAAATTTTCAGTAATTACGTGAGAAATAATCGTATTGCTCTCTTCCTTGATAATACCCTCAGTTCCTTGATACCTACACGCTATTGTTCATGACGTTAGGTTAGGTTTGGTTAGGTTAGGTTGTGAACAGTTATTTGAGGGATGGTCGCTACTTACCCCCACCAGCTGTTTTATGAAGAACTGAGCTGCCTCACACTCGCTCTTAACAGAAAATAAGTTACCTGTCTGGCTTATTGTGGTGAGGCAGGTAGCTACGTAACCCCGGAACAATAAACTTCCATTGCTTCAGTAACACTACAATACCCTGGTGTATAAGTAGCACTATGAGACTGTTGTATATATAACACTGTGACTCTGGTGTATAAGTAACACTATATGACTCGCCAGTATATAAGTAACTTTATAAGATTCTCTGTTCTGTAAGTAACACTGTAAGACTTACCGTTTTATAAGGAAACACTATAATACTCTGGTGGATAAGTAACACTATAAGACTCTGATGTATAAGTAACACTAATACTCCTCGTTGTATAAGTAACACTATAAGACTGATACAAGTAACACTAATACTGTGGTGTATAAGTAACTTTATAATACTGTGGTGTATAAGTAACACTAATACCCTGGTTTTTAAGTAACACTATAAGACTCTTGTGTATAAGTAACACTAATACTCTGGCTTATAAGTAGCACTATAAGACTCTTGTGTATAAGTAACACTAATACCCTGGTTTATAAGTAACACTATAAGACTCTTGTGTATAAGTAACACTAATACCCTGGTTTATAAGTAACACTATAAGACTCTTGTGTACAAGTAACACTAATACTCTGGTTTATAAGTAACACTAATACCCTGGTTTATAAGTAACACTATAAGACCCTTGTGTATAAGTAACACAAATACTCTGGTTTATAAGTAACACTATAAGACTCTTGTGTACAAGTACCACTAATACTCTGGTTTATAAGTAACACTATAAGACTCTTGTGTACAAGTAACACTAATACTCTGGTTTATAAGTAACACTAATACCCTGGTTTATAAGTAACACTATAAGACTCTTGTGTATAAGTAGCACTAATACTCTGGTTTATAAGTAACACTAATACCCTGGTTTATAAGTAACACTATAAGACCCTTGTGTATAAGTAACACAAATACTCTGGTTTATAAGTAACACTATAAGACTCTTGTGTACAAGTAACACTAATACTCTGGTTTATAAGTAACACTATAAGACTCTTGTGTACAAGTAACACTAATACTCTGGTTTATAAGTAACACTATAAGACCCTTGTGTATAAGTAACACAAATACTCTGGTTTATAAGTAACACTATAAGACTCTTGTGTACAAGTAACACTAATACTCTGGTTTATAAGTAACACTATAAGACTCTTGTGTATAATTAGCACTAATACTCTGGTTTATAAGTAACACTAATACCCTGGTTTATAAGACACTATAAGACCCTTGTGTATAAGTAACACAAATACTCTGGTTTATAAGTAACACTATAAGACTCTTGTGTATAAGTAGCACTAATACTCTGGTTTATAAGTAACACTATAAGACTCTTGTGTATAAGTAGCACTAATACTCTGGTTTATAAGTAACACTAATACCCTGGTTTATAAGTAACACTATAAGACCCTTGTGTATAAGTAACACTAATACCCTGGTTTATAAGTAACACTATAAGACTCTTGTGTATAAGTAGCACTAAGACTCTGGTGTATAAGTAACACAAAGACTGGTGTATAAGTAGCACTATAAGACTTCGTTTATCGAACTCTTGGCTCACACTTGAGGTTCACTGTTGGAACACCACACCAAGGAGCTGCTATGTTACTTGAGTCATCCTCTTTGTTCACATGTTCATCATTACACTGTACCGTTCACACTGATATGTTCATCCTTACACTGTACCGTTCATACTGAGATGCTCATCAATACAATGTACCGTTCATCATTCAGAGCCGTTCACCACGAGACTAAATAACAGAAAAATAATGACAATAATTATATGACAAAGATATTTTATTTTGTTTACTGTTGTTATAAACGTTTGTGCGTCAGGAACGTAAACTAAGTCTCTCACGTGATTTAATCGTGACGTAAACAATGAAATCAGCCAATAGAAACATGGTTAATATCTTGACTGGAGTCTTATTGGTTGGTGGTATAGAAGTCACTTAGCAACACGACCAACACGAGTATTCTATCGTTTGAAGGTAACGAGACAGTCTGTAGTTAACAAGAGATAACGAAGTGGTAGAGAGGCGCAGACATACGACGGCGGGGTTCAGTCAGCTTACCTTGAGTTGAGTTGAGTTGTGGTGTGTACAGGAGGAGTAGTACTGTGTTATGGCCCAGACGGTGTCGTCTTCAGGAGTGAAGAATCCAGCCACCAACGCCAGCCTTTACTCCGCGCTGCACCTCCCCCACCCTTCACCACCAACCCTCCTTCCTCCATCATCCACCCCCTCTCCCTCATCCACCCCCTCCACCACCTACACCCCCACTCCGTTTTCTCTCCCCCTCGGACTCTTCCCGGTAGATTCGGTTGAGTGGTTGTTTTCGCTGGTAACATTACTTGTGTGTGTGTGTTACCAGGAATGTTTAGTTATGTTTCCCAGGGCAGCGAGGTGGTCTTGTTATTTCCCGATGCATTACAATAGTGGGTGGTAGGGGTGGGTGGTAGGGGTGGGTTTGTGGGGGTGGGTGGTGGGGGTGGGTTTGTGGGGGTGGGTGGTGGGGGTGTATCTCGCCTCCTTCATTACCATACAAGAACAACTATATCTGGGACGATAAACATTTATTTGGTAATTTTTTAACAACTTTTATCATTACAGCTAAAACCTAAAATGATACACCTATTTGTTAATTAATATATATTCACCTGTAGGTCCTAAGCTTTTGTTAATTTTAGTGAGTGAAATTGAAGATAATGTTAATAATTAATAATGGTTTGTTGTTCATTGTATTTATTTTCTGTTATTGTACTTAGTGATTTATTTATTTTATTCATTATGTTATTCTTGCGGTGCTACTGTGTTTTAGGTGAGGTTAGGTTAGGTTAGGTTAGGTTAGGTGATGAGAGATTTGTCTAAACTTTACCCAGTACATGTTGGTGAGTCCGTGGTGAGTCAATGGCATAACTAACCTAACCTAACCTTCCCCTAGTCCAAATTGAGACATATTCTGTAACAACTTTTTTTTCCTATGACTCTGGAACACCGATTTTGTCACCACTACAATTGTTTAGCGTGAGTGAATGAGCGTACCGTTGTAATGAATTAAGCAAGCAATGATTACAGTAGCGTGATGAGTTTGTTCTACACGTAAACCTAATTTTTTGTATTTCGTTTCGCCATTACGATTACACACACACACACACACACACACACACACACACACACAAACTGTACCTATTACAGAGTGTCAAATATCACCAAGTACGTGTAACCGAGTAGAGTAATATGTAGAATAGACCAGCCGTTTGTTTATTAGGCAAAAGATAACATTGTAGTGAGTCTTTTAAGTTGCGGGTTCGGTTTCTTTTCGTCCCCCAGTTCACGAGGTGTCTGTGGGCTACTGGTCTTGAATCATGTGACTATATGAACCTTACCTGTACTAAGACTATGCGGTTACCTGTCCTTGTTGATGTCGTGTACTTTATCTTATGACCAATTCTTTATTTATTTATTTTTGTCTTGGTTAAATCACGTGATATTTTCCGTATTTTTTAGAATTGTTATAAAAAATATATCGTTTTTTTTATTATTATCGTTGTTGTTATTATCATCATTATTATCGTTATTATTATTATTGTTATTATTATTATCATTATTATCGTTATTATTATTATTATTATCATTATCATTATTATTGGTATTGTTGTTATCATTGCTGTTGTTGTTATAATTAATATCGCTATTAGTATTACTATTATTACTTCATTCACTTGGTTGTTTTCATTCACTATCGATACAACTTTTTTTTAATTGTTTGTTAATAAGAAGACCAAAAATACTTCCCAGAGTTTTAGTGAAGAAGTCAGGTCCTCCCATCATCTCAAACGAAGAAGATCAAGGCAGGAGGAGTCAGGTCATTCCGTCATTCATAAGCAAGTCATCTCGAGGCTGTGAACGAAGTAAACGTGCGTAACTTAGAGCTATCTCTCTTATTTTCCGGTCCACTCGGTAATTCTCCTTTCCTCATCGTCTGCAGGTCGTGTGTGTGTGTGTGTGTGTGTGTGTGTGTGTGTGTGTGTGATGCAGGAGGAGGAAGGAAAACCGCACGTGCGACACTCCGTAAACAGTATTTTATGTACAAACAATCACTCTTGTCTGCTCATGAAGCTTAGGCATGTAGACGTGACTAACATTCACACGTGTACTAAGATTGTCAAGAACTGTACGTCTTCCACCGAACGTGACTTAAACATTCACAGAGGCGTCAGGCTGCAGCAGAAGGTCTTGACTGCAGGTGTGTGGAGACAGCCTGGCTTCACTCAACCAACGGGTGGGTGGGGAGAGGGGTGTAGTAGGAGTGGGTGTTGAATAGACTTAAGCACGTGGTTAAAGGGTGTACGGGGGACCTCCCTATACCCATCCTCCACCATGTCTAAGCCTTCCAGTCCCCCTTCCATCCCTTCTATTCAATCCCCCTCCCCCCCTATCCCACCCCCTCACCGTGGAAGAGGCTACGAAATATACCAAAGAAAGAACGGGAGAAGGAAGGGAAGGAAGTAGAGGGAAGAGAGAAAATATAAGGACGTGAACCAAATAAACAAAAAAAATAAAAGAAATTGAGATAGTTGTCATCAAGAGGCTTCGGTCTATTTGGAAAATTTGCTGAACTGTATCCGGTACCGAACGAAGGAGGAGAAATTTATCTATCTCGCGGTGTGTGTGTGGCGGTGCAATGAGATAGATGTGGGTCAGTGGAAGAAGCTGTGACCCGGCGTGACACCACCACCATCATCACCACCACTATCATCATCACAACCAAGGCACCCTGAAGAGAATTAAAATCACTTGGTTCCTTCGTCACTTCAATACGCACGGAACAACTACGTGACACGGAACTAGATGATGATGATAATGATACTCCGGTCGTCTGAAATTTATATACGTGTGGTTTTCTTTCATAGTAGTTTTAGAGGTTTTTTTTATTTTATTTCTGAAGTACATGTTTTTTTTTCTTGGGGGGACGTGTTGTTCTTACCACTCTCAGATGTTGGTGATAGTATCCATTCTAGTTTCTTCAGTGATGACAGGAATTCGTCTTTAATTCAGGGTCTTGTATTGTAGAGCTCTAAGGTGGGGGAGGGTTACTCACTGTTTGTTGTGAATATTTGAAAGAGTTTGTTTGTGTTTGGATTCATGAGCTTGTTTTATACGTGTTCAAGAATTTAGGGGTCACTTAAATATTCGCCCCCTCCACCCTCCCTCCTTAGTTTATTTCATATTAAGTGTAATTACCCTAACCTAACCTAACCTAACCTAACCTAACCTAACCTTTCTGGAACACCTTTCATTCTGCTGTCTCTCTGTCTGTCTGTCTGTCTGTTTGGGCGTGTACGTGATTTAGTACATTTTCGTCTGTGTGTATGTATCTCTGTGTGTGTGTGTGTGTGTGTGTGTGTGTGTGTGTGTGTGTGTGTGTGTGTGTGTGTGTGTGTGTGTGTGTGTCTGCGTATGATGCCATCAAACCATCTTCACATTCAATCCACCTGTCAGCGTATGTCAGAATTAATTAATTAAGCTTCGCGAAATCACCCAGGTGTTCTGTGGTGAACAGTGTGGCGACGAGTGAACACGGAGACATAAATCACTCACACTGGACCCCTATGAGACTTATCATTAAAGATATTATACGTGGCTCACTCATGACGTACCTGACCAGTGATAAAAATAAAGTATTTTTTTTAAGTCATTGAGAAAGTGTTTTGGTTGCACTGTTGATCACTCTTCTTTGTTCCTTGAGGTCATGCAGAGGACGACTACTGCAGGGGTTGTAGTCTTCACCACCTTCGTCAGTCTTCAGCCTCCTCCTCCTGACGTCTCCCTGCGTCACTTCTCCCCTACATTAATTATTCTCTTCCTTATGATCCCTAACGCATCAATAAGCTGTAATGTGTTAATTAATCTGTAATGAATACCGGTAATTTCAGAAGGAAGATTAATTCAGTAATGTGTAGAATATAAAAAGAGTATTAAATCGGATTATGGAGGATCATGAGAGAGGTTCAGTGGCCCGATACTGTTTATGATCCTGTCTCTCGTCTTTTCTTTTTCATCTGTTTACATTCAGTCGTCTATTATCTGCCTGAATCTTCCTACTTATATTCTTGTCTTTTAATATTAATTTTATCATTATTAATCAGAGGTTATGTACTTTTTTCACTAACATATGTAATTTTTTCACTTACAAATTCACTCTTTGGTCCACTAATAAATGTACACTTCAGAGTCACAACAATGGGGGAATGATCTTGATAGAGTCGTCTTGTTCACGCGGTTTTCTGAGTTACACACCAAAAAATTTTCTGGCTAACTCGTAACGTGAGAAGTCTGCTAAACGCCTCAGTTAATTAAAAAGACACCAACTCGGCAGCCAATAATTGTCCAATTCCACCGAGATTCAACCATAGCTATCACTTCTCTTTATTGTAACTCTGAACTAGGTAGAAATTGTGTCAGTGGGTAAGAAGTACATGGATGAATTACTTAATCTCAAAAATATATAAAATTGTATCAGTTGTGTTTAGTAGACTGTCTCCACTAACCGAAAAGAAACAAGAGTAACCAAGAGCTTTTTTTGGGTGGGGGGGGAGTTTAGTGAAAATAAAATAAAAACAATGACTTACAAACGGACAACATTTATTCATCAGGTTACAGGAAATATTCTCATTGGTAACATAAATAAAGCCAGATGTTATGGTATTTGTTGAATGATAACAGATGATCAGAGGGAGGCAAGGTCTTATTGTGTTATCTTAGACTAGTTTGTTATCTTAGCCTTTTAACTGTTATTGGAGAGATTCTTTCACCATTAACACAAATGATTGGATCTTTTCGGGGTTTTTTTTTAACCATTGATGGACAAATCGGATCACCCGAAGAGTCTCCAACCCAGCTTATTTCACCTGAAGATTATACACCCTAACACAGACCTAACTAACCTGGTGCAGACTTAACCTAAAATACCCTAACCTAACCTAGCCTATAAGAACATATCTACCAATGGTATAGTTCATCACCATTACACTAGCACCACACCACCAGCAACCATTACACAGTAGGCATCACATCATCATCATCATCATCAGTAGGTAACGAGAGACAAATTTAGCACCTCTGCCGCTAACGTCTCACGGGAAGCAGACGAACAAAATAGGGT